TTTTTTTTTTAATCAAGGAAATAGAAATAATTCGATATCGATGTTCAACTTGAACCTTGCGTAACGTTCTTTCGAACGAGCGGATGCACAAATTTCTCTTAAACGAAAGTTCTTTGTGCCATAATTAGTACGTGTATAGTATATGATGACTAGCTCACGATCGGGCTTCCAATTGTTACTTTGCATTTTTCTTTTTCACATTAATTTTATCCGTCAATATATATATAGATCAATATTAAATAGCATGTATGTAAATAGAAAATGATCGACGGTAAAACGATTGGTCGGTTCGTCGTAATGTGCATCGCGTGCAAGAGGATACAATATGCTGGAAGATCGTCTGCAGAAAAAGAAATATTGTCGAACATATTAATAACTATATTACTATTACTATTGTCATCTTCATGACTAGAAACAAATTTCATATTCAATTGCATAAGAAACGACAATTATTATACAATGTTTCGATATGTATAAAATGAAAATTGTATTATTTATTCGATCGCGAAATTTAAATTAACGTTGACCCCAACGGTATATTGGGAAGAGTGAAAAAAAAAGAAATAAAGAAAGAAAGAATAAGAATAGAAGGGAAAGGTAAAAGAATATCGAGCGAAAGGAAAGACAAACTAGGTCCTGGTCGATAGCGTGGGAGTAAAATATGTATTAAAAAGAGGTTCCGTAGGTTGAGAATCACTGGTACGCTCGGTACCTGCAGGTACGAATGTGCAGCATGCACCTGTGTGCCAAGATAGGCGGCATGTATATGCACTTGCGTGGCTCGGTAAGAGAAATCAGTGCGCATGCGCGACCGTTCGTAGCCACTCGCGCACCTCCGGTTTCGTTCGGTCGTTTCGCTCGCTTTCGCGCTAAGACTCGCGCCGCGTTCGGTCGTCACTCGTCATTTCTCTCTCTCGTCCAGTTTTATCCGTAGTATATTATTCGTACGTACGATTGTTTGTTGTTTCTTCGTTCGTTCGTTCGTTCCTTCGTTCCTTCGTTCATTCATTTGTTTCTATCGTTCCTTTTATTTCTTTTATTTTTCTACAATTTATCTATTTCGTCTAGTGTGTTATTTCTTTGCTTTAAATTCTTTTCATTCTTTTTTCCTTTTCCTTTTCCCTCTCTCTCTCTCTTGTCCACTTATTACCGTTAGTTCAAATGAAGCATCTCCTTTTTTTTTTCTTTCCTCGCACGAACGAACGAGGACGAGTTAAACGTTACAGGTGTTTATATCAATCTCTCGGCTGACAGATTCTCTTCAAAAAATAATAATAATAATAATAATAGTAGTAATTTACATTGTGCGATATCTATTACGAAATAACTAAACATCTTACAACTTGCTAATTCGAGAATAAATCTCGTTTGTTCGTAAGTCGTGACACCGCAGAAGTATATATACATTTTATACAAGTAAAACTGGAATATAATATAATCTAGCATTATATTCCAACTACTACTACTACTACTACTACTCTCTCTTCTTCATCCTTGGCTTGCATCTTCTGAATCACCATAAATATATATATACGTATATATTCGTCGTTAATTCAAGGTGAGTCCACTCTCGTAACGTTTCTTGGTGAAGAAAAAGAAAAAAAAAAGAACCTGCTTTTTATTCTAAGGGATTCTCCAAATCATCGACCTTGACCTTCTTACCTCTCATTCTCTTCTATATCTCTATCTCTTTCTCTTTCTCTTTCTGTAATCACAATGCACCGAAGAAAGTATTTCGGTATGTTTCTATGCATACCAAAAAAAAGAAAATACTTTCAATCTTCTTTTATTCCCGGATATAATACTTGGACCGTTTCTTTTCGAAAGTTGTAGGAATTGAGAGATGCATCCTTAGTGTGTATGCATTTTTTTATTTAGTTGCGTGCGCTTCTTCTTTTGTGTTCATCGTCGTCGTGGTTGTCGGTCGTTTCGTCGCGTATCATCGGACTTTAGTTTTAAAATGAAACCGTAAAACTGTTGGGATCAAGTAAATTCAAGAGAGAACAAAATACCAGACTGTTAATATTCTCCTCGTGTATAGTTTTTCATTGAGTATTAAAATAGTCTACTACCACGGAACCTCTTTTATTTTTACAAGTGTCGATATTATTTAAAAAATAAACACAAATAATATAAGGTATGTTCAAAAGAAATAAAGTATAATAATAATAATTATTATTATTAATATTATTATATTGTATTAAGTATAGAAATTTATGTACGGTGTATATTCATTTTTAAACAAATTTAATATTTATTTATAATGTATTATTATATTATATATTATAATATTATAATATTTATATAATATATTATTACTTTTAATATTTAATATTAAAATTATTATATATATATTTATTATTATATTATTATATTATATATACAAAATTTATTCTACGATAATAATTTTCATTATTTGTTGCTTAAAATTCGATTAAAATATTCAAAACAAATATCAACACACCGAATTTATTTCTAAACTTAATGATACTTTTACGACCATTCCAATTAGATGATTAGTAAAGAATGTTGTGTTGTATTTTTCGTCTATGCAATGTTTACATATATGTATACACACACACACACACACGTATAATGTATGTATGTATGTATGACGAACTCTTAGTATCTAACAAACAATATTTGTCATAATCAAGTAAGAATATTTTTGCAACGGTATACACACTTTAGTATATAACAAGATAACCATTTCGAATACTTTCAAACGTTCTCATTTCTAAAACATATTACATAGAATTTTCTGATTTGTTAAGTATTTCAAACATAGATTTCATTTGAAACGATTGTATGTAAATAAAATTTGCAGAGTGAATGAGTTTGATCCTTTTTGTGGGGATATCATTCTCCTTGATTATAAAAAGAAAAAGACAAAAGTAAAAGTCATTTTGATGAGAGGATAAAAAAGTGAGATGACATTGCAAATGTTTTCTTATAATTTTGTCTTCCTTTTTATATTAATTTTATATCATAATTATTGTTATATCAAAATATGTACAATAATACACATACGTTTTTAAGCAAATAGTCAAGGTATTATTACGTTCGTTAGTTTTATCTGTATGTGTTCTAAAATCGTAATGGCTGCTACTGTTAACTGTTATATATAATGCTGTTCTGCTTTCTCTATAATATATGCAACGTTTCGCCGATAACGTCAGGTTTTTTTTTTTCTTTTTTTTAGTTTATTCATTATCCATAAATGCATCATGTACGTATAAATCAAGTTTCACAGAAGATTCACAAAGAGAGACATTACTTTGTCTTTATTTTTATTTCTAAAGTTTCTTTTATATTGTGTTGTTCTGTTATGAATCATAATATTATGTTTCATGAAACTGTGTTTGATTTTTATGAATCAGAATTTGTGAATAATCTCAAAAATTAATAATTAGTTAGATATGTAATCATTTTTCATTCATTTTAATTGAATTATTGAATTATTTTGATTTATATTGTTCATAGATGGTTCATTATTGTTTTATTTGTTTGAACGTTTTCGTTTTGATATTATTTGTGTTATATCTCAACAACAACAAAATGATACACGTGTTAACATACATACATACATACGTACATATGTACATAGACTCGTATACAAATCATGGCCATCAAAAAAAAAAAGGAATTTGAATATTCTACTTTTACAATCGTAACTATTTACATAGAGATATCAAAAAACGATGTTATAATTAAACGAACCGAGAAGCGTCAAACGTATTTCCTTCCTGTGGCTAACACCGCACTTTCAAGCTTGTTCTAAATAACAGTTACACCGCTGGTATTCAGCAATTCGAAACGCATTTATGCGTGCAACTTGTTTTTTTTTTTTTTTTTTTTTAACATACGCGAATAAGCCTGAAAGTTATTTGAATTTCTTCAACAAGAGAAAAAAACAAGAGAGAGAGAAAGAAAAAACAAAACAACCATATCCCTAACCAATTAACACGTTCCGTGCCACGTGTACCACCTGTGGTACACAAAATAATGAAAAATATTGAATACGTGTGTATAAAAGAGATTCAATGTCTTTTTAATATGAAATATACATTTTATTGAATATTTTTCAATATTTTGTGCTCTACTAGGGACGTTAAACTTGTTCTTCAAGCCACGTGTACCACCAGTGGTACACTTACCATTTTATGCGTTACAAATATATGTTTATAAGAAATTTAATTTAGTAAACAAATATTTCTATTAAAATATTGATGCATTATAAAACAAATTGCATAAGTTTGTTTAATTGTATTATATTTGTAATAATTAATAATTACATGTGTAATGATTGATTTTGTTAAATTAAAATGAAATGGCCTGAATGAAGATAAGTCAGATAAAAAGAGCTTGTGTGCATGGAACGTGTTAACTGAGAGAGAAATTAAATTGGAAAGAACAAAAATTTCTCGTGGAATACGTAATTAAAAATTAAATAAGAAAACAATCATCATGTACGTCAAACGTAAGAGACAAAATTCTACTGTTATGTTAACACGTAGACAATTTTATCGAACGTCCGTTGCAAATTTAAAATGATTTATAGAAATATCGAGTTTGATAAATCGAAAGAATCGACGTAAGCAAAAAAAAAAAAAAAAGAAAAAAAAGAAGAAACATAATGTACTTTCGTCAAGTAATGCAATTTTAATGCAACTCACGTATACAGTTCTTTTCTTGCTTTTTATATTCTTCTGCGACGTCACTTTTATCTATTTTCGTATACGTTCTACTAGTATATATATATATGTATATATATACACCAGTTCATCGTAACCAACTACGTACGTTACTATCATAATGAATAAATGATCCAACGTACGATATTATTGTCTACGTACGTTCGATGACTGAAACAAGCGTCAAGAACACGCGGTTGATTCGAAAATTCTTACATTTAATTGCTATTGATCTATTTTAAAAAAAAAAAAAAAAAAAAAAACAAAACGTTTTATAAACATTTAACCGAGTAATTAAAATGCAATCGTGGCTAGATTAAGATAAGATAAATAATTAGATAGATAAACGTGATTAGATATAGATTAATATAATTAAATACGTAAATTAAATTTATGGTAATTAATATAAATTAAATATATAATAATTAAATTTTGATAATAATTAATATAAATTAAAATAACAAACATTGAAAGAAGAAAAAGGGGAACACTGAAGGATATTGTCCTAGTATCTAACGTGACGTCACGCTTCGATCAACGTTGAATCCTTGATCCGATTTCACCCGATGCTTTCCAATGGTGCATTGAGTTAAAAATTATTGGGGGAATAGAGGGGATTAGGGGGAAAGGGGATACAGAACAAGTTGATCCAGAATAACGAGGAAAAGATCTCTGGCACGCGTTGCTGTTATGTTCAATCCCTTTCCCTCTTGTCCTTTTTTATTTTCTATCTTTCTTTCGCATCACATTCATCCCTTTATTCCTTTTCTATAAAAAAAAAAAAAGGAAGCTTTCGTGTACAAGTAACTAACATCGACGTTCGTACTATTTAAAGAGAAAAGCTTTTGGCGAGTTTCCAAGATGTGGTGGTTCACATCTTCTTCTTGGTCCGAAGAATTTAAACTAAGTTCAAGGGAGGAATTGTCTTACTTTTCAAGTAAACTGTATTTATAGTACTTTATTTTTTTTCTTTTTTTTTTTTCTAGTCAATGTAACGAATGAAATCAGCTAGATTACATCGCGTAACGCCCCTTTTTTTTATAATGATCAACAGACACTCCCTTTTGCGATTATCTCATCGAACGGTTCTGACTGGTACGGCTTCGTCCCGTTGCTTGACCGCCAAACTTCGTGAGAAAATACATATCATAATACTATCATAGTTATTTCAATAATTATTACATCTATCTACAAATAGATCTATTTATTATTTATTAATAATAATAATAATAATAATTAAATATCTGAAAGAAATAGGATATGAAAAGACCACCGCACACCTTCAATGGGAGGATCGCACTCAGGGACGGGAACAATGGCGGAATTTGGTATTTGTGGCAATGAACATTCGAGTTCCTAATGCCAATAATAATAATAATAATAATTAAGTTAATTAACAATAATATAATTATTAGTTATCTTAAGTATTCCGTGTTCCTTCTTCAGTTCACGTTTATTCTCAGCGATAGGAGCGCTGTCTGTCGGAATTTCGCGACAAAAATTGCGAGTTCGATGAACTATCGAACGCATAATTATTTTTATTTATTTATTTTCTCTCTTCTCTCTCTCTCTCTCTTTCTTTCTCTTATAGTAGGGAGGTTTATTTTACAGTAGTAGGGCTTTTAAAAGCCACGTGGGAAGAAAATAGTGTTTATGATATAAACGTGGTTGTTGTTGTTATTGTTGTTACACGCGCGCAACATTTCACATGGGCACATGCGCGTGTCGATGTAAATACGATCCCACCTTGTATAAAAGGTGCAAACTAAGAAGGAGACTTCCTTTTTTTTTTTACTCCGTGAAATAGAAAGTGAAAACGCGTCCCAAGGATTATATATATATATACATATATATATATATATATACGTAACGATGAAATCACATGTTAATTAACGATAAGGTATAAATAACTAATGATAATTTCAAACCGGTCTTAACTTAGTAACTGCAATTTTTTTTTTTTTTTTTATCAATTTTATCTAAAGTATAATCTTATATTTGACGTTTAAAAAAAAAAAAACAAAAAAAAACAAACCGGAAATTATAAAATAATACAAAATAAGTTGCCTACTTTTCAGCTAATTAGCTTCAACTTACGCATATGCACACGTGTGTGTGTGAGTATAAATGCATGAATTTTCGCAATTGCAATATGGAAAAGATTGCAAAGGGAGGAGGAAGGTGAAGATAAAAGATGTGTAAGTGCTCAACCCTTTTATTCAACAAACGAGTCTTCTTCGTCGTCTCTTGGTTGTTGTCCCTCCTGTTTCTCAGCATTTCTCAGACCTGACTCATCGTAGCATGACTTCGATGCACAGTTTCTCACGCTTTTCTCCTACTTCTTTCAATTTTCTCACAAACTCGTTCACTTATTTACATCCCTAGTTGAATAAGTAAACGAGTAAGAAAGTATGAAATCAAAAAAAAAAAAAAAAAGGAAAGAAAGAGGAAAACAAGATGGGTAGGAGGAAGTAGGGAGAGATGGTTATATTGTTGGACATGTAAGTTCTTGCTTTTAAACAGTTGTGGGTACTCATCTTGGTGGAACGCAGTAGCAGTAGCAGCAACAGCTCCGCCTCTCACACAGTCAGAAGTTAATTTTACCTGGGTGATCTTATTCGTGAACTTGACAGGCCAGTTGGATCTGAAAAGCTCGAGTTAACGATACCCCACTAGAATTTGTGCGAAAGAGAAAGGGACAGATAGATAGAGAAAGAGAAAGACAGAGAGAGAGAGAGAGATTTACCACTTTTTCTTTTTATTTTATTTTGTTTTTTGTCTATCTCTAGAAAATGTCTTCGGTGTGACTCATACGGTCCTTCCACTCACTCCTGGAGAACGAACTCTCCCTACTACTAATCTTCTGTCATTCTTTCTACCCCTTCTACTATTACCTTTCTTTAGTCTTGCATCCTTTAACAACTCTATTCTCATTCGACTAGTAATTTAGTTGGATAGATAAAGTCGTCCATGCAAGTCTCTCGTATCATTTTACGTGTATATAAATATGTCTGTCTCATATTAAAAGGAAATAATCAAATCACAAATTAAGGTGGGGAATATCGTGATTGGAGAAACGAAGGATGGTAAGCTCCCGTTCATCATCTACGGCTATCGACGATAAGAACGAAGATAATAAAAGGAAAGAAGAAGAAGAAGAATTAAAGGGTCAAGAAGAGGAGGAAGTTATCAACAGTACCATTATCAACAACAACAACAACGATAGTAACAACGTTGATTCAATACCTTCGTTGTCCACCGTCGAGGTGTTAGATTTAGTTGGCGAATCAACAGGCAACGCCATCTTGTCGGGAAAGAAAGGAAACGTTAGAAGAAGCGTTGCCGAAGGTGAGGGAGGAGGAGGAGGAGGTGGTGGAGGAGAAAAAAGGACGAGTGTTGGTGCCGGCGTCGACAAGGAGGAGGACGACGACGTCGTCGAATGGGGCCGACGACGAAGCAACAACGACGGGCTACCACCTTCGTCGGTTTCGATGTCGTTAGACCTGCAGAATCATCCGGTCGGTAGCGCCAGTCCGCAAAACGATTCCGGAGATTATTCGAATATCGATACTGGTTGTGTTGGTAGTGGTATTGCTACTGGTACTGCTAATATTTCTGATCCATGTGGTCGTCCACTTACTACTACAACAACAACAACAACAACCGAAACCAATAACAACGCTCTATCATCATCATCCATTACCAATATCAAACTGATTGGTAATAATCGAGAAGAAGAAGAAAGTTACGAAGGATTTGGATTTGGATCCGATTTTGGATCCAGTTCTGGTTTCGGTTCTGTCGAAGTTGACGCCGACGGTGAACCCGAGGACGGCCGAGACGACGCCGATTCACCTGGTGGCAGCAGTTCAGCACCCTCTCCTACTGGTAGCAACCCTTTCAGCAGGTAAATTTCATCATCTATTATTTCCTTTAATTCGTTCATGAAGATTCTATTGTGGATTGTTTCAAATTTTCGCGCTTTTGGTCTGGTCGCGGTACTGCAGACCAGAACCAATGAAAATTCATCATTTGCTAGGACAACGGACCATAATCGTTATGATTCAAGGGTCAACGTGCTATTCCTTGAGAACAACTTATCGATTTGTCCGAGAGGTGAAAATCCATCGTTCGAACACATTGCCGCAGTATGATAAAATGAAAACCACGAGTCTTCCCAACCCCCCCTCCCAACCCTTAACAACCCCTCTGGCTCGCTTTTATTCTTCCCCCTTCACCCCTTCTTCCATTCTTACTCTTATTATTAATCTTTATTCTTGTCTTTCTGTTAAATATTTGCCCTCAATTTTTTATACTAACTTCCTCTCGAGAGATTGAGAATTCTTTTCCCAATGTTTCTTTCCTCATTTTGTTTAGTTTTTTTTTTTTTGCCATATTTGATCGTAAAGAACGCGCATAAAATATGATTTGTATTAACAATTAAAGTCTACGACGAGATTAATTTTCCACTTTTGCTAAGGTCGCAAACCAAAAGTCTATTGTTGTTTACGTTACATTCGTGCACGCTTGGAACGTTGTTAATTATCTTCATGCTAGGATGAATCCCAACGAAGTTTTTCTTTCAAGTATGTACAAAATGATGATAATGATAATGATAATGATAATGATGATGATGATGATGTTGTTGATGATGTTGTTGATGATGATGATGATGGTGATGATAATGGATAGTACTTTCTTTATACAAATCCTTTTTCTTGTTAACACTCACCAAATCATTGTTTTCTGATGAGTATTGAAATTTTGGTTGTGTTAAGTAAAAAAAGGGGGGGGGGAGAAAAAAGAAATGTAACAAAATAAAAAGTTTAATCTCGTTCTCATGATTTTGATTAAAGTTTCATTGGAAACTTTCGCACGAGAAGAGAAAACAAAGCTAATGCCATTATTATTCCCCGATTACTTCCTCAAGTTTATTAATTTAATTTTATCGTATTCGTATTCCACGGGAAGAAGCTTAATGGCGTTCAATTCCTTAACTCTACTTCTCTTCCTCTTCTAGTTTGTATTTTTTACTCGAGAAAAAAAAATAGAGAATGATTATCGCAGTATATATAATGCATTAGTTAGATGCATTTCCGTTTAACGATCATTAGATTAGTTTTTTTTTTTTTTATTTTGTATGGTTTTGTTTTTTTTTCTTTTTTTTTTTTTTTTCTTTATATTCATACACAGGTTGTATTTTATTTTTGGTATATTTTTTTTTTTCTTTCAAAAAGAGTTATTTATTTCACAAATATAATTATATTAATTAAATATAAATATAATATATGTATTTAAATATAAATATATATTTATATGTTTAATTTATTATAATATATATATTATATATATTTTTAANAATATATATTTATATGTTTAATTTATTATAATATATATATTATATATATTTTTAATATTTATAATATTTTTAAATATTATAAAAATATTTATAAATATATATTTTTATAATATATATATATAATAAAATATAATAATATAATATAATAATAATAATATAATATTAATATATAATAATATATATTTATATAATAATTTATAATATATTAATAATAATTAATAATTAATTTTATTATTTTTTATTATATATATATATATTACAATATTTATTTATTTTTAATTACTTTATTATTAAATGAAAAAAACAAATTTGTAAAATGATAATACATATAACAAACAAATGATGTTTATTTCGTATCTTTGTATGCAAATATATTAGCTTTTCAAATCTTAAAGTTAAAAAGATAAATAATTTGTAATTAAACGATATTATTTATTACCAATTTGATTCTTTTATTTTATTTTATTTTTTTTTTATTAATAGCTTTTTCATTTGACGAAATTGAGCCATTAAAATGGGTAAGATCATTCGGGCATGAAATGACTTATGTTGAAGGTAAAGCGTGACTCTCGATAATTAATATCATAATTTATTTTATAATTAATATTGTATGATTACACAGATGTATAAAAGGGAAGATAAATTAATGATCTAATTAAGATTTTTTTTTTTTTTAATAGAATTTATTTTTGATTATACACATTGATGATGATGATGATGATATTTCGATGATCATACATGGTGAATACTCATAGTAACTAACACACACATATTTACACATATTTTGTTATTAATTCATTGAAATAATATACATCGATGAGTAAGAAACGTTTGTAGAAATCTATTTCGTATCGCTTATAAATTTTATACATTGCAATCATTTATTATTATTATTATTATTATTATCATAATTAAATTCAATCGAACTCTAAGAACATATGTTAGTTCACTTTCTCGCAATATTCTAAATTAGAGATTGAAATATGTAATCATTTTACTTCGTCATTCGTGTATATATATATATATATATATATATATATAGATATATTTTATCGAATTGCGTTTCATGCAAGTATAAAAAAAAAAAAAATTAATAACTTTCGATTTAGTTATTTCACGTAGAAAGTTATTTCATACAATAAATTTATATATATATATATATATATATATATATATATATAATATAAATGAAATAAGCGTAAAATTATATAAATGATAATATATTATTTTTTTATAAATAATAATATTATTAATATTATTTAAATTTTTTAAATATATTATAT